CCCCCCCCCCCCCCGCCCGCCGCGCCCCGCCCCGCCCACCTCCTCCCCTGGGGAGCATAATTACAAATTTTTATTGTTGTTTCTAAAGAGTATTATACAATTAGGACATGTTTAATACGAAATTTGAAAAGTCAAAAATTAATTCTAAGATTAAGAATCTGATTTTATATATTTTTAGATAATTTTTTAAAAGTATTTTATCTAACTAAAGGAACTTTTAAAAGAAGTTGATACAAGTTTTATTGAACTTTTTATTTTTTTGATAATCGTGGATGTTCGGGCAAATTTGGGGGCACTTCGGCTAATTTCACTGGGCCCTGAAATTTACGACCGAGTACTCACCTCGTCTAGTAATAATATAACACTTGATTATTATAGCCCCACAAAAAGTAGATAGAATACCATATAGAACCATTCTAGGTGTACAGAAAAATACACCACAGAAACACAACAGAAAACACACAACACGGTGGGAACCGCCATTTTTTACAATATTTAAATACACGGTGGGATCCACTCTTTATCTCTCATCTGGTGGAATTCTGGTAAAAATCATTCCATACACATGGAAAAATTGTACCATATAAGAGGAATAATTTAAAAATATATATTATTTCTCTCATTTTCTTCTTAACTATTTTTGACATTTTTTCAACTTCCAACCAATAGCATGTTGACACAGCCCAGTTTTGTTTGACAAATTAGTGGACTGTTTTGAGTAACTAATCCCTAGAAGTTGGTGAAAATTTGACCAAGAGCTAGCGTGTTACATATGAAATAATTTTTAATTTTTCTTCCAAATGGCAAGTATCCTAGTAGATTTTTATTGTTTGGAGTTATTATGATGTGTCACCATCGGACAATAATCATAAATTTACATTTGTCAAGATTCACAATGATGATGATTTTAAGGTATTTTTTGTCTTCATAGGAAAAATAATCTTGAATATGATATGATTTCAATATTTAATGGATAGAGGCATAGAGCCAGCTTTTTGCCCATCGAGTCAAAGGGCAATCCAGAATCTTTGTCACTCCTAACTTGAAATCAATATAGAGATGTCAAAATAGTCGAATCATCCATTGCCATCATGGTCTGATACATTTCAAGGCAAGTCAAGATACATTTCAAGGCAAGTCAAGGCACGGCATGGCTCAGCTTGCCTCATCGAGCCATCATGCAATCCAGTCTCATTGTCACCCTTGACTTTAAATCAATGTAGCGATGTCAAAATAGACTAACCATCCATTGCCACCCATGGTCTGGATACTTGGCATTTGGCAAGGCACGGCTCGCCTCCACAGGGCTTTCAGTCCACCGTTTATATACTTAAATTGACACTCGAAAACAATCCTTTTATGTACTACTTCGAAACCAAAAAGATAATATCAGGGCTTCAAGCACTAGAAATTTAGACAGGATCTAATGAACCATACAAGGGGCTAGAAATTGTATTCTGCGCTAAGAAATTAAAGAAAAAAAAATCAGTAATCAAATATTTTTGGCTATTATTAGATTCATGAAGCAAAAAAAAGACCAGCCAATACTAAATAATTACACCGAAAAGGAGAAAACATTGCAAGACCCCATTTCGGTAACAGGTCGAGGGGTGGCCTAATCAACTGCGAGCTCCTTTCTCAATGGAGTCGAGTACTGTCTGATATGGTGGAGCAGCTATACCCTATACATTCTACATTTTCATTGACTACACCTTGAATCTAAGTTAAGGGAGAAAAAAAATTGTATCCTATCTTTCACCACTTTGTTCACCTTCTCGGTATGAATTTTGTCGAGTTAGCTCATAGTTCCCGTCTGAAGACCTTTCAGCCTCACAGGTTGCAGGTTTTGCTTTCCCACAGAGAAAAAGGAAGGAGGATGTATATATCGATACATGCCACAGACTGCATATCATTTTGCAACAAACATGAGAGAGAGAGAGAGAGAGAGATGGAGAGCAATAGTGAATGAAATGATAACAAAAACACGCAGATTTATAGCGGTTCACTTCAATGTGATAACTACATCCACTTATCTCAGCAAACTTTTTATGGTAAAGAAGGAGATCACAAGGTTTCCTCGCCCTCTGTCTTTTACTCTCACTCAATTTATTTTTTTTTCAAAAATGGTCCCCTCTAAATTCCTTCACATAGGAAACTCGGGCCATCAGAGTTGTTCAAGTAGGAAACTAGGGACTATGGTAACCTAAAATAGAAGTATGAATCCTAAATGTTACCCTAATAAGAAATGGCCAACAATATAATAGATGATCCTCTGTCGAGGGGATAAATGAACGATATAATTAGGCTCTACAGTCTTACAAGAGAGACTTTTCCATCTATTTTTATCATACCTGTGCCAGATCCAGTAGCTTTCGGTGCTCTCAAGTTTCCAGCTTATTGCAGCCATTGCTAATGCCATGAACCCGGCAAATATAAACCCCCAACGGAAACGCTTTACAAGTGTCTTAATAAGACGGTGGGTCCATCCTTTAAGAGTTTCCCATCTGCATTTACCACGTTAAAGTTCAACACAGAGAAAAACATAATAATTCGCAGTTCTCCCTGTTATTGTTCCTTCCTTGCAAGACCATTGTGTAATTATTACATACAACCACAGAAACCTTAGTACGTGTATTATCATGGACTCTGCAACCTGTCCATATGGTACCCCCGTACCTTCTATCTTAATAAACGACAGAAAATTGAAACTAACCAAACCTGTCCAATGTCAATAAGGCTATAGAAATCCCCATTTAAGAGAGAGGTGATAGAGTTCATCTCGGTACTATTGGATCATAGGATTTTGGCATATGTCAGTTACCCGTCTCCTTTCCGACCTTACATTTCATATTTTCACTTTGTATATCTTACAGATAGAATAAAAAAACTCATTTAATGAAATAACTTTCAAGAACAACCGAATATGTCCAGAACATCAGGCATTTATATCTTAGCTGTGGTTTTGTTCAATAGTCACTTGCATATTTACAGTGAGAATGATTTGCATTTACAATCCAAAAAATTATTCTACCTGTCAAGAAGATTCAAATGAAACTCCGTTGAAATGGAAAATGACCGATAACGAGAACATAACTCAATGAGCAACCCAATGAGAAGACCGAGAGCGCCAATGGCCATTACAAGAAAAATGTTGGAGGACCTGTAAAATCTGTCATGGTTAAATCTGACCACAATAGTGATTCGAGTACAAGATCATATAATAAACTATTACCGGGTCGGTCCAGTTTCAGCCATAAGGGCTGTTAGGATTGCAACAACTGTGTGAATTGTCCTCTTCGAAGCTTCACTAATAGTAGCTAAGTAGACAAAAGTACTGACAACGGCCATGAAAGAAAGCCAGAAGTCCAAGAACTGAGAGCATAATTATGATGGATTATTCATAGACAAGGAAATGAAAACTCACCAAACCAAATCAAATATATAATAGTGATACCTGTAATACATGAAAAGTCAGTGGACACCAGGTGCCTACATCGCATGCGTGATACAATCCGCTAGAGATTCCACTACATGTGAAAAGAACCCACTCTGCAAATGCCTAGATAGGAATACCAAGTTTAGTTTTTCGTAAATTAAAATACTACTTGATATGGAAACTAAAATTCGTAAACCCAGTCAGCAAACAAGGTATAGCATAATCTCAAGAGTATGTTTGGCCAAAATTAAAATCAAGTAAAAAGTTACTTCTATAGTAACTTCGCTTCTGAATATGTTTAGATAAGTTACTTTTTCTCACTTTTACGTGAAAGAAATTTATTAATTTCAAAAGCAACTCTTAACATACCGTCGAACTAGGTATCATTACTAATTTTGACAAGTAAAAGAAAAAGTATTTACTTCAAAATCTATTTGCTTATAAGTCAACCTTTTAAGCTTAGCACTATGTACAAGTTAAAATACCTTCTGGCGGAGGGCCCAATAAGCTGGAAGCACAGCTGCAGCATTAGATGCTATGAGGAAAATTGACTGCCGAATGTGCCCTACACGAGTTTTCAGCATTTTTCCTTAAAAAATGAATATACAGCATTGTATTACATACAAATGCTATACTTAAAAAATAATAAATCACTACAATTAACTTGAAAATAAAGAGAGATAACCAGAAAACTGACAACTCAAATTTATAAGGTAAATGTTACAAGAAATTATAGCAGAATTTGCCGACAATGAAGTGAAAAACTGCAAGCAGAAAACACTAAGGCATGCAGAGATTAGTTGTACGTCTGCAGGGTCATACCATCCAATTCCTATTTATAATGTAAGAAACTAGGGTGACTTAATGCAAACATATGAATGCCCAATGTAGCCCTATAATTAAAAAAAACTACTGAGCAATCTATTTAAGCTCCACACGTTCTAATAACTATTAGCAAGATTCAAATTGTATAGAGCAGAATCACATGTTAACAGTTAAATTTACAAAAGAAAATTAACTCACCTCGATGTGATACAAGTTCAATACCGCAGTCAAAGCCTCCGTGGTTTCTATCGCAATTACAGTAGCTGAGGGAAAAATAAGGAAGCAGAATAAGAAGGAATTGAACAGTTGGAGAGTTACTTAGAATAGCTTATGAACTTCAAGAAAAGGGCATATGAGAACCTGTATAATGTCAGCCCACTAGTATCTAAAACAGATTGACATGATCCATGAGAAGAGCATTTTCGTGGACACCTCTCCAGGGACATGGACATTGTCGTTTGACTTGTGGAATTGAATAGAATTTGCCTCAACCCAATACCCCAAGTTCCTCCTCTAGCATATAATATATACAAACTAATTCCATCCGGATCCGAATCATACAACTTGAAAAACATTGAACCATTGCTGTTGGTTGTGCTGTTTGCATAGTAGTAGTCCCAACTATTAAGAGACGGAAACCCTCCATATCTTGCATATATTTCGTAATTTATATTTGCATCAGAATTAAGGCGTACGTGGATATTTCCTCCAGCTGCACCTGAAGGAATTTCGAGAAGGAAAAAAGTCCAAGCGTCATCATTATATCCTCCACTGGAAAAGTTACTTAGAAGGGGTTCCAATGGAAAATTAGCCGAATCTGGTGACACCTTTCCCGTGATTGGTAGATAGTACGATTCAAAAGGGACGGACGGATTTTTCCTAAGAACTGTCTGCAGACAATCATTGCCAGCTTGTCAGTTAAAAATTATTTATTTTAAAAATGACTTATTTACAAGTTAACTCTTTAAGCTTAGCCTAGCCTAAATTCTTAAAATTTTACCTGAAGCGTGTATCTTTCCAATGTGCAGTTAAATCCAGCCTTATCCATAGGGCACTGAATCACTTGCCATTCCAACAGATAGCAAAATTTAGAGCTTATGTTTTGAGTTCTAGTGCTCTTGTTAGAGACATCAATAGGTTGTATGGTAATATACCAGCGTCCAATTTTTGGAGAGTTTATAACCAAAGGACCTTTACCAATATCACCCGAAAAATCATGCAATGTTTCAAGTGGCATTGCACCGTGCCTAGCATAATACATCAAGACACTGTTTCCAGTACCATTTGAAGGATGAGTCTGATTAAAGCTGATATTTGATGCTGTAATAATTAGTTGTTCGGCGATTCCTATCACATCCAAGGAATAGACTCTTGACCCATAATCTTCGTGACAAGCTATCTCATTTGCATTTCTGCAGGAAACCACAGTTTTTGCTGGTTTGCTATATGAATTGTTGTCTGGAACACTTTCAATTAAACTATAGCTTTCAGTACACAAAAGCATATCAACTGTTTGGTTGCAAAATTTGCCCAACATTGTTGAGATTGGACATCCTTCCACACTTATGTTGCCACTAAAAAAGTATGTTGGGCCCCTATTAATCTGTAATGTAGATCGGTGAACTGGACGCGTTTAGAAAGTAACCCAACTGAAAGTAACAGTCTAACAGATATCCAAATCGTAGCATTTGGAATTGGAAATTGTTGTTGGAATGAAGACACAAAATATAAAAGCCATAAACCTTTTATAGAAGAATAATTTTGAGAAACTGCACCAAAAAAAAAGCACGATGACAACATAAAAACGGAAAACAAAAAAAAGAGTTCTGGATATTGTCAGGACTCAGGAACTATGCTTAGTATCTACAATTATAATTTCATTTCTCCTAGGAAAAATCTTGGGTAAGGTTAAAAACTTTACTTATAAGTAAAATAATTTTTTATTGTTCGAATTTGGACATAAATAACTAACTTATTATGAGAAGGTAAGAGTTACTTCCAAAATAAGCTACTTTTTTCACATAAAAGTAAGTTATCCAAATATGTTTTATAGACAAAAGGTTACCTAAAGCAACTTTACTTTTTCTTTAAAGCTTAGCCAAAAGCTCTCTCTAATTTTGGAAACGAACAACCAAGGAATGAAAGCTCTCAGGATGACCAAACCCATAATATTGGTTTTCTACTGTCAAAAATTTCCATCAATGTTATATAACTAAGTTATTACGGTGGCATAGCAGAACAAGAACAAACTGTTACCCACTCCAGTTTTCTCATTTCATCAGCTAAAATCATTTCTGCAATCAGGTTTGGAAAACTATATTTCATGTTTAATAGAAGTACATCTTTAGAAAACAAAAAAAGAGTGACCAAAAAGCGAGAGAACTCTAATATGATATCAAATGACTAATAAGGAATATTTGTAAGCATCAGTGCAATTGTTCGTACCATTTTTGATTGAGTCCTTATAGGTCCAATGCCATTGAATAACCCGAAATACCATGTTCCTGGAGAAATCTGTGAAAGAACAAAGTTCAATTTTGCAATTTTCTAGTGGCTTGAAACCATAAATATACAAATTTAAGAGTTTCAGAACTTACGACGAACCTGATCATTTGTCAACATCAATGATATATTATTCTGCATAGGATAGCACTTCTCAACAGTTTGAAGACTTAGATTACCACTAAATAAACCATTAGAGATGTAATTTATCTCTGCAGTACAAAAATCTTACTGAGTACTCAGTAAAAGTCATATTGGTGGGCCAAACAGAAAACTTGAGGGATTATTGTAGTGATTACAATATTTCTAACATTTAGTGCCATGAAAGTTAGCATTATGGATAGATGTATGACATATCAATGATTGAAGCAATTTCTGCTCAAAAGAAAATAATTTAAAGGGAAATATATAAGAGTATACTACTAAACGCATGCTTGGCGAAGCCTATAAAGTTTACTTATAATAAGTAAGTTAAAAATGAATATTTTATTTTATTAGTCAAAGTTGAAAATAAGTTGCTAAGTTTGACAATATTGTAAGAGTTACTTTCAAAATAAGGAACTTGTACAAACATGTTTCGAAACTAACTTTTACTTCTTTTTTGTAAAGCCTAGCCAAGCATACTATAGATCTTTTTTTTGTGTGATGAGCGTGTTTTTACAGGAAAAAAGAAGATGATGATCGTGTACAATAATGCTAATGTTGATTTCAATTACCATCATATTTTTACCTAGACCCGTTAGAGAAGTATTATAGACATCAGGCAGAGGAGGGCTGCCCTCTCGGATGCATATCATTGGTAGAGAGATATCAGATGCATTTCTAATTCTTTTGAGATCCTGTAAACAGCTAAAATAAAGTTATCAAAATGTAAAAGAGATAACAGTGGGAAATCCAATACCATATGAGGTTCGATGAAATTTTATTGCCGAAATTTTATTTATATGACAAATCCAGGTGGAAAAACAGTAAGAATATTGTAAGAAAGAAAGCATAATGATAAAAACTGCAGATTAGATCTTGCAAGCTTGCACCATCAACAAGGCTTTAAATGCAGACTTACAATGTTCACGTCTGATTCGAAAGCTAAAGACATTGAAGAAAACCATGGTGGTAAATCGACTGCAATGAGTGAAATAAAAACATTGAGTCATCATAACAATAACATCCAACATTGAACTTCAAAGCTGTATATGCATCTTTTGAAACGGCTTAGAGGGGATTGGGTGATGCACAAAATGAAATTGACACACTTTCTCAAGAAAAAAAAATCTAGGTAAATTTGATAATAACTTACAGAATATATTATAGCATCACAGCTCAATGCTAGTACTGGTGAAAAATCGACAGACCAGTTACCTTATTTATTAGGGTGACCTTGCCTGTGTATGGTTGAGGTTTCAGGTGGGGAGGGGTGGTTGAGCAAGGGGACAAAGCATGGACGAATGCAAAGTCGGACAAGTGTAGCTAACTAGTAGAAGAGATTGTTGGATCTTAAACAACAGAATGCATTCACAAAGACAACATTTTTTTACGTGAAGATCAACCCTATTGATTCCTATACCAGGCTTTTCCTTGACATTCATTCAACTTTTCAATGATTGATAATCCCATTGAAATCAAAGAATATTGAAAAGGAGTCTTCCTCCCTTCCCAAATGCCATGAACTTCCTAACCTTTTTTTGTCTTCACTAAGCGAGATAGGATTAGAAGAAAGTCTCCTTAGGTCCACTACTCCTCTCTTCATCTCTCGAACAATTGATTCATTTGTGCCTTTAGTTTTTTGTAACCCGACTTGTTAAAACCCTAGAAATCGAGATCTAGGGCGAAGAGAAATAGCTCTCGTAACAAATCTGGTTGGAGGTAATGNATAAATAGATCTCGTAACAAAGGTTGGAAGTAATGAAGGATAGGGAGTGCTATCATTGACGAGACGGTTATGATTGCTGAACACGGAGGTTGAGTTTTTTGGAGCAGACCGATGGGATCATTTTTCAAGCACGAATAGAACAATCTAAAGGGTTGTGCAACCTAGAGAGATGGCCATATATGTGACATCGAGGTTCAGTTCATTTGGAAAATCTATCTATAATAGCATTTTTTCTTCAGTTGAGTATAATAGAAGGGATTTGAATAGTAGGTATTGACTCGTTACCTAAAACATAGAGTATGGACGCCTACTAGTGCCACTGTTAACTCCTAAACTGCATCAACTTATCCTAAGGACTTTCTTTCAATTGGAATTTGGTTCTTCACCATGTACGAAGATCTGCTGAAACCCAGCCCCTACAATCATATTTTGCCAAAATATAATGCTAAACTTACCTATGCTAAAGAGAATGATAATTTCGTCACAACTCAAGAAGCCTAACACCTCATAATGCTCAGAAATCCCAGTAACATGTAAAGAGAAGTAAGTTCTATCAAAAAGAGCAGTTCAAAATTGATTACACTTAAAAGAACAACACAGAAAAGAAAACGGGGCAAAAAGAAAAAATCTAAAACCAAGAATAGAACATAGTAAGAGTACTATTCCATTAACGGTATAAAAAGTAAAACTTTAGCAGGGCACGCAAAGCCTGAAACTCATACTGCCCCGAGAAACCAAATTTAATATAAAAGGCATCAAACTGAGTTTAATAGGGGGCGGAAACTAAATAGATTACTCTGATTACCAAGACTGACAAATTCAAAATGACGAAAAAACTGAAAAAAAAAATTAATTTGCATAGCTATTATTTGAAAATGCACTGCTTTCATTAAGAAGGCCAACAAAGACTTAACTTTTGGCCTACGCCACCCAGCCTAACAAATCAGATTGCAAGAAAAACCAAAAAACGAAAAGATCAAACAGAAGTCCACATAACCAACAAGATCTATATAGTGAACTGAACAAGAAGACCCCTTAGCAAGCTCCAATTTTTTTGGAAAATGTGTTAGTTCATTGTCGTTATGTATCAATGAAACGAATTTTAATACATTCATTAACAACATCAATAAATATTAAAATTTTTTACCTCCACCTAGCAGCTTGAGAACCTATATTGCTCACAAAAAGCAACCACATTAAAGGATCAATCTAACATAAAATACAGTCATCAAGAACACTATAAGATCGTGTTTTTCACCACAACCCACAAAATAAACAAGCTAAAATCAAATTGACCATAAACCAAACGTGCTAAATAAAACATTAATCAAGAAACACCAAAAGAATTACAATTCAATTAATATTTAATAAATCAAACTTTATTCAGACAAAAAATATACCTCTGATATACCTCCATTCATAAGGTTTGAGCACAGTCTTTCCATACGTGAAGCTAGAAACAGTGAAAGTATTGTACAGACCACCACGTACCTGTTCTTGTGAATCACACATGTACACAAAAGACATAAAGAGTAAACATAGATTCAGATAAGACTGACCCAGAATCCAATTCTTTCTCATCTTTTTTTTCCCCTCTTTTTTCACTAATTCTTCACTATACATACAATCTAGAATCGTATAATATAATTCTTGAATAATTAAATAAAAAAATTTACTCCACGATCATATCTATGCACTGCTGCAGTATATATGTCTGAAATAAAGAAAATTAATTGGGTTCTTTCTTTGATGATTATTATACTTCAGAACTCTATTTATAATCATAAAGAAATTGTGTTTGTTGATTTTTTTCAGATTCGCTGGTTGACTGTTGTTATAAAGGAGTCTTTCTTGAATAATAAACCAGGGAAAGGAAATGATCACGCGCTGGTTTATTGAAGCGAGATCACGCTCCGGTTAGGGTCTGAGTGAATGGTTTTACATTTCTACCGTTAATGAGAATTTATAAAATATTTAATGAAAAATAAAATATTCAATGAATTTCAACTAGCTTTATTAACTTATTGCAAAATATTTATTTATGTTGAATTGTTAATTTTTTCTTAATCGTATTTGAAAATTTATATTTTATATTTATAATAACATTTTTTTAACTAAATGATATCCCTTGTTTGATCTACATTCTTCAGTAAAATAATATTACACGTAGTCTCAAAATTTTTTTTTTTTAATCATATATTCTCTATTAATCTACTATTTCAAAATGTATTTTTACAATAAAATGTGGCTCATATATGAATGAAAAGTATGAAAAAAGTTATATAGAGCATGTTTGGTAGAGTTTAAAATTCAATTAAAATTGAAAATATAGTCGTTATTGGTACCTACTCGTTTAATAAAAGTCAACAATAACGACTAGTTTTTCAATTTTAATCTCTACCGAACACGCCCATAATATACAATTTTAAAATAGTACAGACCGATAAAATGAAAAAATTTGTATCAAAAATATATATTTATATTTAATTATCATAAACTTCAAGATTGTATTTTTGTGATAATCGAGAACTAATTGTTCAAGACTAACATAAAGATGATTACAATATGCATAATTCATGGTCTTTCCTTTCTCTTATTTTTTTTAAATGAAATTTATTGCAATTGAATCATTGTATATTAAAAGTAGTTGTAAATTGTGATGTAAAAGATAGGATTTAATAGGTTTTCACATTATTGGAGGCAAAATTATTTATGTAAATAAATCATTATGAAATTAGAAATAATGTGGATTCTAATAATCTTGGAATTGATCACCTAAATCCACGTTGGATTTGAAGAATTTGTAATTTTTCCAAAGGACTTTTTTACAATTTTCAAGAAAAAATATTTGCTTTCTTTAGTCAAAGGAATTTAATAGATTTTTTTACAAAGAGTGCAAAAGGTTCACATAATGAAAATGAAAATTTTGTTGACTAGTTTATTTGTTTAGCTTCCACTCTATACAATTATGAATTTATAGTTTCAATTTCAATTTGATTTTTCTTTTTTTAAATTTTTTTTACTTATATTGTATTAACTAACGTTTGATTTTTGAACTCTGATTAAGCCCCTGTTTGTTTCCAGTGAAAAGCAGAATTTGTACAGTTGCTTGTAATAGTGAGCCACAATATTTGACCATTTTGTTAGAATATGCAACAGCAGCCCACGTTCAACAGATTCTCCTCTCCAGCTCACGTCCAGCACATGCTTATCTCCAGCTCATCTCCAGACCCGTTTCAGCAGCTCCTTCCAGCTTCTTCTAGATTCTTCTTAGTTTGTTAGATTGTTAGAATTTACTCTATAAATAGAGCATTGTATTCGCCTTTACAATTGAGCATTTGATGAATAATAAATCTCCTTCTTCATCATGTTCCTTCAATGTGAATTTCATATTTAATTCTATCATTTAATTTTCCGTCTGCATTTTATTCTCCTGCTGCTATCTTTTCATTTTCTGGTTTCAATTCTGCTGTAATTGCTGGTTCATATTTTCTGCTTGGTTCGTTTCCTGTTGGTTTTTAGTTTCTGTTCATTTCAGCTTCGTTCCCTTTTATTTCTCAACATGGTATCAGAGTGAATGCTCCTTCCGTCTGCAATTCTATCAGTTTCTTCCGCTTCCTCAACTCTGGAATGAAGAAGTCTGCTGATTAAGGAATTTTACATGGTATCAACAGATCATGTCCACCACGTGTTTGTTAAAATGCTTCCAGAGGAATGAAGTTGTACTGGTGGTTTTTTTTTTTTTTTT